AGGGGATGACAACCATTATTGGCATGAGTATATATAGAAGCATCAATTTTCATAGTGCTCTTAAACACACTCTGATGATAATGTAGGAAGGGTACAATTATAAGGGAGAGTGTGGAAAAACTAAAGAGATTTCTTGTGAGATTTCTCATTATTCGCCGCCATGTAGTTGGAATATTGCTGAGTGCGTCGTAAAACTAAACTCACTCACTCTTATTATCCGTTTAAAAGTTTCGACCTCATGTACAGAGCAGTAGAGCTGCAGAGCTGAATCGTCCTGTACACGCACGCACGCACGCACACACACACACACACCACCACCCACAACCATCTCCAGATGCGCCCCTCCAACAGTTAACACAGATATGGTGGTGTTCAGTCACAAAGCTGAACACAGGTCACCTGCTTTGCTGTATATTCAGTCTCTTATGATGTAAAGAGATGGCACAAGCTGGATAAGAGTGTTTGCTCTGCAACATGTTCTTTAAATCAGCTATCTTATAAGGCCATGGAGCACCTGGCCAACATTGGGTCAACAGTTTTGTTTGTGCCTTACAAAAGATCTTGGGCGTAATAGCATTCAAGGTCGTTCCACCGCGGAGCAAACACGTTGCTCCTTCATTACCATTATAATAGGTACCATGTACGCCATACATCCAGTCTGTACACGGTGCATGAGTACTGTACAAACCTGAATAGGGCCAGGGTACAGCTTAACATCTAGTCCCTGAAATGAAAATAGTTGTTTTTTAAGCTGTAAAAAGTAGGCCAGCAACTTTCTCCAGTTTACAAAACTGCTGGAATCTCGAGTGAGTGAGTATGGTTTCACGACGCTTTTAGGAATATTCCAGCAATATCACGACGGCAGATACAAGAAATACGCCACATTCTGCATCCCCAAACTAAATAGGAAGCATCACTTATTGTCAGTTTCAACTAAGAAATACCCCAAATTCTAATGGTTGACGGATTCGTCTTCCAACGGGTTTGACAAATACAGAATAAACCATAGTCTGGAGCAAAAGACTCGTTGTTAAAGGGTAATGCCAATTGTATACACAAAGCTGACATAGAATAACCAGGTCTCAGTGTGTTAACATCAGTTTTATGTAAGGCGGTGGAGTAGCCAAGTGGTTAAAATGTTCGCTCGTCACGCTGAAGTTCAATTACCCACATTGGTACAATGTGTGGAGACGATTTCTGGTGTTCCGTGATATTGCTGGAATATTGCTAAAAGCGGCGAAAATCGAACTCGCTCACACACTTGTTTTAAGTAGACCCTCATATGTCTCGAAGTGGACCCGTGTTCTGGCAGTCCTATGTTTAATATTATATTACGTTTTTTCATTGTACCTCCAACTCAGAACACTGTCATTGGTTCACTTTGAAACATGTTATTAAAAGGTTACCTTATTCCACCCCACCGACCGTATGTCGTTTTTGATTTTGCTTAGGAAAGAAAACAAAGCAAATTAAATCAGAAAACTGACGCCTAACTCTGTTTGTCCATTTGTGCTAGACTAGTTAGTATGTTGGTTGGGTTGTTGAACGTACTCAGCAATATTCCAGCTATATGGCGCCGGTCTGTAAATAATGGAGTCTGGACCAGACAATCCAGTGATCAACAGCATGAGCGTCGATCTGCGCAATTGGGAACCGATGACATGTGTCAACCAAGTCAGCGAAAAGTGAGTGAGTGAGATTAGTTTTACGCCGCACTCAGTAATATTCCAGCTATATGGCGGTGGTCTGTAAATAATCGAGTCTGGACCAGACAATCCAGTGATCAACAGCATGAGCATCGATCTGCCCATTTGGGAACCAATGACATGTGTCAACCAAGTCAGCGAGTCTGACCACACAATCCCGTTAGTCGCCTCTTACGACAAGCATAGTCGCCTTTTGTGGCAAGTATGGGTTGCTGAAGACCTATTCTACCCCGGATCTTCACGGGTCTCAGCGAACAGTCACCGAAACAATAAAGCATAAAGACCGAAACACAACTATATGATATCTGTATCAGACACATCGCCATCAAATAAAAGTTTATACACACCATCAACTACGGGCGTATACTTTGTTTTGCCCGAGAGTGTATATCCGATTGAATTCCCGTGTCAACGACCAACATGTGCAGAACATCTATTTAGTTTTAATAGTACACCATCTCCAAGCCTTCCTTTACAGCTAGAATACATTTGAGTAAACACGTAGTTAAGTATTCCCGTCGTGACTAACTTTCTAAAGCTGTACATACCTGCATTGTTATAATTGTCATTTAATTTCTTCTCGGCGATGGCACGGACTGTCTCCATTGACATGATCGCTGAAAAATGTATGGAACACCAGTGTGGTGGAACTGGACCTAACGCGTGGTAACTCTCATCCGGCTTGTTGGTTAAGGCCACACTCAGCAGTGTTACAGCTATGTGACGGCAGTAAGCTCATGATCGAGTCTGGACCTGACAATTCAGTGATTAACAATATCACAGCTATATGTCGGCAGTTATCTCATAATTATGTCTGGATCTGACAATCCAGTGATTAATATCATCATTGTTTGTTTGTTATTTTAAGCAGCACTCGGCAATTTTCCAGCAATATGACGGCGGTCTGTCAATAGTAGAGTATGGGGCAGAACATCTTGTGATTGTCATAATGAGCATCGATCTACTCAAGTTTGATTTGATGACAAGCATCAGTAAAGTCAGCGAGCCTGACCACTCGATCTGGTTGGTCGCCTTTAACAATAAGCTTGGGTTGCTGAAGTTCTAATCCTTATCTTCAAGGGTACCCTTTATGTATTTACATACATATTGCGTTTGTTGGTATATTATATCTCGCTCTACAATAAACATACAAAGTTCTACCCACATGGACAACAGCTCCCGATAAACGGATTCTCACCAAACGCTGCAAAATATCTCCCCACTATAATGCGTTTTGTTTGTTTGTTTGTTTGTTTGTTCAACGCCACACTGAGCAATATTCCAGCATCTGTACGGGTCCACTATAATGCCATCTAGCAACGTTTAGCTAAATGGTGTTATTTGACCGCCTGGTGAACCTGATTTTATCTCAATATTATAATTTACGTTCAAATATATTAACCATCTTGCAGGTCATATATCTGCTTCATCCACGCTCGGGCACACTCACATATCACACACTCTCTCAAACACACACATACAGCCAGCAACAGTTACAATCAAAACATTATAGTCTGTAATAACCTTTCGTTTCAAACCGGATGCACTACACTATAACTATAACACAGCAAAACAATATTATTGACAAACATTCTTCCGGCTAACCGTATGTAGGTGACGTCATATATATATATACTTCCATTCAAAAGTTTAGACTCACTAGTGTAAATACAGTCACTTACATCATGCAAGTTTGTTCCAAATTACATATTTACTTAAAAAGCAACTGTTCCCATACTGTTTAAAAATATCCCATACTATTTAAAGGTACTGTTTACACATGAACTGATGTATTGTAAAACAAATTCGTAACGTTGAAAAGATTATTGTCATTAGTTCAATAAAAGATAAAAATCAGTGAAAATTAGCGAATTCTTAACAAAACTTTACACCAAAACGCAGCTGTTCACATGCACGATATTTGCACATATATTTATAGTGAGTGTTTTAAGTGAGTCAACTTTAAAAACTAAGTATATATTACGTCATTTTCATAACACTTCGCCATCTTCCAACGCGGTACTCTCTACATTACAAAACAATTCTCGTCACCGGAGGTCCACCCAAGTATGTTCTCATACACATTGGATCCAACAACTTGGGAACATACCTGGCCACTTGCTTCACCAAAATATCAATGAAGTTCTGTTTTATGCAAGACTGATTTTTCCAATACCCCCACCTTCTGGTCAATGGATGATGCCACGGCGAAACTGAGTGGAATGCGGAGAAGTTTGAACTGTCCTGAAAGAATCTGAACAGGCACGTAGTTAGAAGAGTTGGGGAATTAAAGGGACTCGTCGTGCGCCATGACCATGTAGCCCTAACTTATTCCTGGTCATCAATAAACAGATGGCGTTCACCCGGGTGGCAGTGCAAGGCACGTGCACAGTTACGTGCATAACCTTGTACCTAGTGCTGTGTCAAACTGCAACATGGTATCTTCGTAGACAAATCCGGAATATTACAAGCTACCAAACCTACGCCTACATTTACATTGCTATGTATATTTGATATATAGTGAAATTGGCCTACCTTTAGAATACAGCACCACTAAGTTTACAAATTACATCACAATACCTTATGACATAATTTGTGAAATTTTGTTACCAAAAGCAATGCTCTTTGACGTCAGTCTGTTGCTAAAGCTCCTCTCAGTGTTCTGTCGTCTCTATACGCATTGTCATTGAGTAAGCCAAGGGATGTAGGGAGTTTGTGTGCTAAAACATGGACGACGGCGGCGCATTTTACAGAAAGAACTTTTATTTTAAATATATTTTATAGTTCAGACAGACAGAGACAGTCCGAACGAGAAGTTGTGGTGCTGTATTCTAAAGGTGCTCCGTGAAATTATCTGAACGTGACGTCATACACGTAACACACAATAACGCACCATACACCAAGTCTCACCGTGCACTGTATCCCACAGAACATACTAACCACATTATCAATTATTTTACTAACTGCTGTCACATAACTAAAAATTACTCGTCAAAAACATCTCTCCATTCCGCCTGGCATAATTCAAAGTAAACCATATCTCACTACCCAACAGTGCATTAGTCATGTATTGTGGTTTGAATTCAAATTGGTTAATGTGTCTAAATCAATCTCACCTATTAAATCTAACACCATATTAATGCAAACATGGCAGTTGGACCACTGTTATTCTTTACCCGTGACGCATTACAGAGTCATCTTATCCCCAAATCAATACGCGTTGTAAAAGAGAATTATGACCCGTACAGAAAACCATACATCGCTGTATGCAGCCAATCATTTAAACGCTCTATATTTAGATCTTGAGCTGCGCTTAAAGAAAACAGAATCGGACAGATACCGTGTGGACCAAGAACAGACAACAGCCCCCACGACGTGGTAAGTAAATCATGTTTAACAAGACAAGAATGTTTAACTGTGTGACGCTTTTCTGCAACACTGTTTTACTGTGTTATATCGGTTTGCGGTCATTATGACGTGATATTCACCAGGATGGAATGAAAACATTACCATCAGTTTCACTCCCACAGACATCCATGTTATTACTTTGGTCCATTACTTGCAGCGGGGAATGAGAAAATATATCATCAAACATTTCGGCTCCAAATTGCCTCAAATGCTGTCATTCTTGAGGTGAAGGTGTAAGGGTTTGCTTAGATAGGAGTGTTTGTAAAACCCATGTCAATGTGTTGATGAGCCATTATGTTTTGACATTGTGACTGTCGACAGATCACCAGCTTCCGTTACTTACCTTGTGGGTAGCACTGTCAACATTGTGGCTGGTTAATTGCTGGGTATACCGGCAAAGGAATGTTCCTGGAGAGTAACATTATGTTACATTCCTGTTGACAAATCATGGTACGAGGAAAATCGTTAATTTGCCATCTTATGATTTACTCCGATCGTGGGAATCTCGTTAATCCATTCGCGGCACTAATTAAATAACGAGACATTTGGCAACCTAACAGTAGTTACTCACAGTATTATATTCTTTCATATGTTTTTAAATTATCACTGTTGTTGTGTTCTTGTAGGGATTGGGAGTATATCTCAGTGTGTCAGTTCTCAGCATGTAAACAGCAACATGGAGCCGGGACACATGCGTTGGCACTAGGCCGTGAGGTAGTCTCTCTTGGGATGTTTCTGTAATACATCATTATGCATTAAGATAAATTACGATAAAAGGTTTTCGAAGTGAGCAGTGTCAAAACATATAGAGTGTATTCCCTAAAATATACAAAAAATTAGTACATTGACACCGTTGCTGTTGAATTAACTTTAGTCTAAAACAGGTATTTTATTACCAACAAAAATGCATGGTATGTGACATAAGACCATGGCCTAGATTTTCGAACCTCTCTAAGCTAATATAGTCGTAAGTTAATGTTAATATATGGCACTTATGACTATCTTAGTGCTAAGAGAGCTTCGAAATTTTAGGCCCAGATCTTGTAAACATCCCTATACCAGAATCATGTCCACCTCAACTCAATAGTGAAACCTCCAGTCATGGAGGCAGTCCAGGAACCAGTTCCAGGCAACCCTGATCTATATGGTGCTCATCCTGTGACTCACAATGTTATATTGATGATGTGATATATGTTGATGTTATCAGTGAAACATGTTTCTATTGGGTATACTCTTATCATCACAGATAAGGAGTATCATTACTCAAAATATTAATCACAGGATTGTCTGGTCCAGTCTCCATCATACAGTTGGAATATTTTTGAGTGAGATGTTAAACAAAAAGACAAACATACACCAAGTAGTGTTTTGGTACGACTAATACACACAGAAGTGTTGAACATGCATTTGTTTAGTTTAAACATATTTTATTCACAAAGTGAAAAGGATCAGGGACAAGTTCTTACAACTTATAAAACCCCTCTCCAAAGATATACAATAACAATTACATCACAAGCAGTTATTAGAAACAGAGACAGAAAAAGATTGACAGTTCAGGGGAAATCTTATAATACGAAAGGTGTATAGAGAGGAGTTTACTGGAATCGTTTAGATTTGCTTATATACTGATGTACGTTCTTTAATATGGTTTCATTTTTATGATCTGCAATGCCTTTTAAAATAACAGATAGTGTAATGCATTTGTCACAAGTGGTGGCCCTTCAGCGTGGTACATGCCAGTATTTTGGACAGGTAGTTCTCCACCACAGACAGGCTTGTTTACAACACACGAAGCCTGAGGCAGTGCGTGTGACACTGTTCCAGTTGAGTGCATCACCCATGCAAGCCCGTCCCTTGTGCACACTGCCCCAAGCGACTGTCATCTCTTACTTACTCACATGCCTTCTACATTTACAACTGTTTTCAACATGCAAGTAGAATAACACACACACTGGCAGGGTCATGTGATCATATGCAAGACTGCCTCCATCTCACCATATGGCGTGATGGGGTAGCCTAGTGGTTAAAGCGTCCGCTCGTCACGCTGAAGACCCGGGTTCGATTCTCCACTAGGGTACTATATATGAAGTCCATTTCAGGTGTCATGTTCCATGATATTGCTGGAATATTGCTAATAGCGATGTCAAACCATATTCACTCATACCATCTCACCATGGAGCAGATAGTCGGTTGTTCGACCCCCAGTTGGGGTTGTGTGTGAAGATGTAAACATATGGTAATTGTTGTTACCTTGCCTAGTGCTAGCCATTAAGGGGATAAAACATGAACTGCACAGCTCTTTCAGTGTACTGTGTCGGAATGGGTATCTATGTTATTGTATCTCAGTTATGTTGGGGTAGCCCAGTGGTTAAAGTGCCTGCTCATCATGCTTAAGACCCAGGTTCGATTCCCAACATGAGTACAACGTGTGAAACCCATTTCTGGTGTCCCCTGTGTGTTATTGCTAGAATATTGCTAAAGGTGGCATGAAACTACTCTCACTCACTCATTTGACCTAAAGAACCTGCATCTTGAGACAGACCACCACACATGATTGTGTGTAACTTGCTATATAACTGCAATAGTCCTGCATGGGACTTTAAATGTCATTTCACGGCAGCATGTTGAAAACTCAAGATGAACTCATTCTCTTTTATTAGAACAGGGGCGGTAGGGTAGCATAGTGGTTAAAGCGTTCACTCGTCACGATGAAGACATTTATACATGGGTACGAAAATTGCACATTTCTGGTGTCCCCCACTGTGATATTACTGGAATATTGCTAAAAGCGGCATAAAACTAAACTCACTCACTCACTCACTTTATTAGAACAACAACACTTGCCGCTTGTCATATGCCCGTACATTATTTCAGGAGCTGTTCAGGACTACTGTTTGTCACAGCCCACATCCACAGGGATTCATAGCTGGACACAAATAAACATAGTATATATTCCCCTTATGTCCTTCCACTCAAAGGTTATATGCTTCATAAAATATTCATGGTTTTTTTTTATTTTCATTTTTAGTACAACTATGAATTTCCTGTTTTAAGACTCCAGTGAGAAAGCTGGCTAGTTCACAATAACACAAACACCTGCCCATACATTTCCCTCACCATGTAATACTTGCAAAAAGTTATTTACTCCCAATGTTAGACATTCTTGGCCTTGCAAAAGCACTTGGTTTAACCGGAAACAAAATAATACAACTTTTACACATAAAAATAGAGAATGAGTACCAGAGGATACAAAAAAGTATGTTTGAATTATTGCAACCTTTCCATTTGTTGCTATGGTAACATGTGCCAAACAATATTACTTCGCCCCACACAAAGTAATTGTAGCACTATGGTGATCATAACTCCCACCATAACTCCCATACATTAACATTAACATAGAAATATGACAGTTGTAGCGCTAAGTAACGATCGCTTTGAGGAACGGGCCCCTGGACATGTCTGATTTTCTTCACTCAGTCATATACATTTTTTTCAAACCACACTCTGAATGCCTATGATAAACGTTAAGTTTCACACATTCAATTTGTTGTTGGTTAAACTCTTGGCACTGGGTCCCTCTATTTCATGCATGAGACCCCCGGGCAACATTAATTAATGATCATCTCCAAGAGTCACAACTAAAAGACCTACTTTGGTTTGTTGGTTGGTTTGTTTAACTCCAAACTCAGCAATATGCCAGCTCCTTGGCAACGGTCTATAAACACTTGAGTCTGGACCAGACAATCCAGTGATCAACAACACGAGCATCGATATGATGACATGTGGCAACTATGTCAGCGAACCTGACCACCTGCCGTAGTTGCAAGCATGGGTAGCTGAAGACCAATTCTAACCCAGATCTTCACATGTCAGACTGACAGACCCCGAGTAAATACCTGCATTCAAATATATATGTTATTCAAGGTCTTCACTCAGTGTGTGGAATGAGGGAAATTTTCACTTGGGCAGTTTACAATTTACATGCTTAAATATCTCCGTCATTTTACAAACTGAATCATATGTCCTTGTATTTCAGAATGAAAGTCGGTGTATATCTCTTCTGACTTCTATTCATAGCTTCAGTTTATTGTGATGTTTAAATCCTACTGAACTTTTGACTTCTTAATAAATTTCATTCGGTCTGTCAAATAAATGGACAGACATATAAAGTGGGTGAATCACACATCACTCATACACATTATCTAAATCCCCTCACATTTCTGGTTGGACTGGTCGATCTGTAATTAATCCTAAACATTTGTAATTGTCTGACATTATGCCACAAGCAAATGATGGAACTGTCCTTGTGTTTGTGTACGTAATGTGGATTGAGGTTTAGTGACTGTGTAGGCCCACAGCTTCATCCAAGCTATTAGATGCAGGAATAAACCCATCCATCTAGTTCCTAAGTAGCATGTGAACCGGTCAGGTATGACAGTTATACTACGGCCCATTAGCAATGACCTTGTGATACCATGAATAATGACCAGTAGTGGACAGAGGAGGGATGATAGGGTCTGACCAAGTATGTACCTGGTAGACAGGTATATCTGGAGGAGGTATGTGACAGATGAGGATGTGGACACATCCAGGATGAACTGACATCAGCCAGCCTCATGTGACAGTACCATCTGTCTTCTACATGAGGAAGTCTCTGGTGACCTTGAACTTATCAGCTGTTAATCAAGTTAGGCTTCACTTTACTCCACTTTAACCAGTGTTTCAGCAAGTAAGAAGGTAGAATTCAGAGGTGGTTATAATGTTGTAGTGTTCTTTTTTATGCCTCACTCACTCAAGGGAAGTGTGTGAATTAGGTTCATTATTGGCGTCTTCCAGGTCAGCATTGGAATGCTGATAATCTTGGCGTGGGACTTTGCAAGCTCAAAAATCTTTCATACTTTCCTTCTTAATTTACACATATAATTTTGTCTGGCCTCAGACACTGATGATTTAACATGTAAACACTGCCT